AGCGCTCAATAAATGTGTGATATTTTGTCGCCGTTTGACGTCATTAATGGTGACATCGATAGGAGTGTCGCCGACATTGAGTGCGACGACAACTGTCCCGCCGTCTGTGCGGACAAAACTGGTGGTCAACAGAGTGTCCGCATCTGTCGGGCCGTCGACTGCGAGCGTATGGTTCAGGCGTTGAGCGCCGGGCGGAAGGAATTTACTGAAGTGTGCGATCGAGTAAAACGACGGCTGTTTGTAGTACTCCCGGGCCGTAGCGTTCACTATAATCGGCGCGTCCACGAAGTTGTTCACCCAATTGGGTCCGCCCTCTGTGTCCAGAGCCAGGTTCCAGTCAACCCAACCTCCGGTCCAGTGATTCAAGTCCTAGTAAAATCCCATCAATAATACATAGTAGAAGTACACGACTAAAAAGTTTGATTAAAATAAAGAAAACTTACCCCAATTATATTCATGGCGTACCTCTCAAACAGCATCCAACTGCCCAGATAGAGGCGCGACGCCTGTCCCTGCCATGTCTCGCACGCTTCGGTGCTTATAATAAACTTGGTCGGATCCAAATTGTTGACCATGTCCAAATTGATCAAGTTGCTTTTGTCGTTCATATACCAGTGATAGGCCATTCCGGACACGTATTGAGCCGCGTCTTTGTCCCCGTATATGACTTGTGCCCATTGACTGATGAACGGTCTCTGATCGTCGCAAATCATAACTCGGGTAACGTTAGGCCCATAACCGGCGGCAGACATAATGGGACCCAAATCTAGTTTCAGGAAATCCCGTTGCAGTTCGGGTGTGAAAGATAGACTATTCCAAGGGTGGAGATTGCCTATTATAAAGGTACTAGCTGGCTCATTTTCAATAGTTATGCCCCATATGGGTAGGCCCTGAGCTTTGTATGCGTCCAAAAATCTAATTTATAAAATATTATTAAATAATTTGTATTTTTAATACAAATGATTGTTTATAAGGCATCAAAAAATATATACTTGACTAAATAATTAGCAAATGCTTTGTAATATTTCCCACCGGGCTTATCAATAAGAAAACCACCATGGTTTAATTCTGAGTTGTTTTTCATCCAAGCAGGTGGTGACCACGGGCTTCCAAACAGTCGCAAATCGTGCTTGCTCACTTGTTTAGCCGCTTTAATTAGTGGTATCTATAAATATAAGAAAATATCAATTTGCACAGCTTTACATGGCTAATACAATTCATACTAATATTTTAAAAACTAATACATACCTTATCATTGAAATCCTCTTTCGTTAAATTGAAATGTTTTAATTCAAAATCATTTTTATAGTTATCGTCATAACTATAGGCATGTATGGAGAAGTCTGAGCCCCCGATCGGTATCCGACCCAATGTATACTCAATACCAGTTTCCCCGAAATAGTCCTCAATTAACCGCTTTTGCAGTATTTGTGGCAAACTTTTAATGTTAATACCGGCGGCGTCTGTGAAGGCGCCCCCAAACCCTATGATTGCCTGATATAAGGGTTGAGTTTTGTCCACATTTATTGTCACCGATTTATTTGCTTTTTGGACAGAGTTTTGACCGAAATTGAGTACAGATTTGTCCAATCGATGGCCACTTCTGGAGGACTCGTAAACAGTGACCACCTGTTTGTCAGTCTTGTGAATGGCCTCCAAGTCGTCGCAATGGCTTTCATCGCACACACAGACTGTCCCTCCGTTTCCGTAATCCCTGTGAACGCACGGTAAGCGTGAATGCACTATACGTTTAATCAAATTCAAATTAATTGTTTATTTTAGCAATTTCACTCTATGTAATACCAAGTCCTATAAACGCCACAAACAGTACAAAAATTTTCATTTTTAAAATAACTTATTATAAAATATTTTTATAAATAATAATAGAATATTTTTTTTATTGTTTATATACACAATATTTTGGAGTATTTTAATGCAATTGATTAATACAGTTATCACTTTAATAATATTATCAAGATTCAGGATTAGTGTAACTTTCAATATGAAAATCAAAATTGTACAATACCTATCTGGGTCGTAATTACAGTGCAACCCCTCCATAGCGAACCCTCTCTACAACGAATACCCCTTCATAGCGAACGATTTGAAATCATTTGACGGATTCGCTATACATATAATGTTAATAAACCCCCTCTACA